TAGACATATGGATAGAATGAAATGATCAATTGGAAGCATTAAACCACATAAATCATTGAATAAACAAGATTTATATATATAAAAGTGTCAAGACATGAATCACAAAACAAATCCCCTCAAAAATACATAAATCAAGAAGTAGAAAGCATGCTTAGGGCTAACTCTAGCTCCAAGAGGATGTCTAGCCACTCATGGATGATGTCCTCCAACCCTCAAGGGCAAACTCCATGGAAGAAATCTGTTCCTTGGTTGATGAAGAGTCTCTAACGGTGTCTCTAGCCTCCTCCTCCTCTTTTCTTCCTTCCTAAGAGTTCTCTAAGGTATGATATGATATTCTATGATGTGATACAAAAAGTAATCCTTATCCTTATATAAGTAGGTCAAATGACACCCAAAATGAGCTGGGGTCGTACAACAAATATTCCCCAATGATTGGATAAAGGACAACTTTTTGTGAGCTAGAAATTTAACTTTTTCGCACTGGAAGAAGTTTGATCGATCGAACCTTGGACTTGGATCGATCGAACATGGCTGAGATCTATCGAACTTAGGCTGGATCGATCCATGATGGCGGCACCTTTTTGGATAAAAACAAATTTGAGATATTTTGAAGATATTTTTGGAAAAAGGGCAAAAGCGGTTGGTAGGGTGGTACAACTGGATAAGATCAATCATTTGGATAAGGACAAGAATGTTCAATCGATCGGAGAAGGAAGTTGGATCGATCAAACTTTTTGAGATCTTTGAACAGGGACAAACATGGCTCAGATCCATCTTGAAGTGCTGAGATCGATAAAAGTTGGATCGATCGAACTTTTCTTGAGATCGTTGGAAGTTGCTGAAATTCCACCATCTACTTCCTTTTGCTCTATTTTGTTCCTTTCTTTGAATCATCCCAGAATTGCTTCAATTATGCTCTTATTTGGCTGAGTTAACTTATTTTGGGGATAAGTACCAGAAAATGGAAATAACACGAAATCAATTGATAAGCGCCGAATAATGTATATTCAAGCGCCCTAAATTACATTAACAAAGTCCAGTTATTAATTATTTTATGTAGATTAACTCCATTTCTATGTTTTTATGCATTTTCAGGTTCATTGGCCAAAATGGAACAAGAATAAGGCCTTGTGGAATCTTGAGCAACAAAAGGTGCCAATGCTGAATTCTGGCAGCAGTAGAGCCTGGACTTTGCTTGCCATTTTGACCTTCCAAACTCGAGAACTGGACTTCCCTCATAACATGAAAGATTTAGAGCTCTGAATCAGCTTTCCAAATCTTCAAGTGGTTCATCATTCGGAGTTCGGAGCAGAGAGTTATGATCTTCACAACAGAGGTGCGCAGAACTGCCTAGCAGCACTGATGTACTGCCTTTCTCCCCATTTTCGACCAACCAGACTTGAGAATTGGGTCTTCATCAAAACATGAAGTTTTTAAAGCACTGAATCAGCTCTCCAAATCTTCAAACAGATCGTCATTCGGAGTTCGGGGCACAAAGTTATAGCAGTTTTCCCAAAATAGGTCAGCACTGAGCAAGAGGAGCATGTTGCACATTGCACTAAGTTAGAGTGCTCGAGGTCACCAAACGTGTGCTCGAAAATCAGGCAGAATGCCCTTCGGAAATGGCTCATTTCAGCCCACTTGCACATTGGTTTCCTCAATGCCATCTTCTTTCTTTATGAAGTGGTTGGAGGTGTTCCTTGGAGGAGAGAGGGTATTGTTGGAGCATAAAAGGCTACCCAAAGGCCACATATATGAAAAAGCTTTATCTTGAGCAAGAGAAAGGAGAGAGAAGAGAGCAAGGAGAAGGGTGTTCTTGAGTGCTACAGTAGGAGCTCGAAAATGGAGATGAGGATGATGCTTCTTCCTTCTTCTAGCTCACCAATGGGTAACTAAACCTCATCTAGGGAGGTGATGAAACCCCTCCCTTGTAAGCATGTGTTAGTATAGTTTATTTTTGGGGATTACAATGTATTTTTGATAGTCTTTCCATGGTCAAGAGCCTCATTTTTGTTGTAATGAATGTTGAATGTTTTAAATGATTATTGTGAGTTATTCATCTTGTCTTGGATGGTTGCTTTTCTTAATCATATTGCTTGCACTTCCATGGTGACAATGGAAGTTAGATCATGGAATGGTTTTAATGGCATGGAGTTGGAGAACCTAGATAGTTCATGGCTTAGGGTTTCCCTTTGATGGGCTATACTTGATTCTTAGCTTTATGTGCATTCACCATTTAAATTAGGGCTTGATAATCCTTGGCTTAGTAAGCATGTTCTAAGCTACATTTTAGTTTAGGTAGTTGATCATGTGAACCTTTGATGGTTTATTCTTGCCTTTCTAATTAAATGAACTTCTTAAAGATATTATAGCAACCTAGTATTGTTATGTATCATGACTATCATATATGTTGTTTTCCCCTTAAATTAATCTTAACCTAGCATGTGTATAGGGATGGAGGTGGATTCATTTCCCTAGCCTTCTTTACTTGTACTTCACTCCCTTGAATTCTTGCAATTTATTGTTTTATGCACTTTTAATTTCCTAGCTTAAGTGACATCCAACAAAACCTCTATCCACCCTTCATCATTCTAAGAATGATTCTAGACATTTAGGTTGTATTAGACTAGCGCAGTCCCTGTGGTTCGACTTACCCGACCAATAGCCCTATTTTACAATGATTCGTGCTATTGCGAAGGTTGATGTTAATTGACCAACCGATCAATTTTTGGCGCCGTTGCCGGGGACTGCAAACGGTTTAGCAACCGAAGTTTCTAGGGTTAAATTTAGTTTGATTGTGAATATTGTGTCTTGTGAATATTCCTTGTGTGTTTTGACCACCTTTGTGTTTTAAGTGTTGTAAGATTCTAGGGACTCGAAGCTCGCCGTGGGAATGCTAGCAAATTGTAAGTCTAGAGGACCCCAGGTAAGTCTCGTGACTTCTAGTTTCGAGTTGTGAATATTGTGCATGTGTTAAATTTAGTTTTAGTTTAGTTGTGAAGCCCTTGTTGAGGCTCTTATCCTGTTTAAATTTTGTGTTAAAGCATCGGTCCTTGTCGTGGCCATTTACATTTTCCGTCTTGATAATTGAGGAGAAAGGGAACATCGTATGTGGAGTTGTGGTTGATGAATTGCTTTGTTGAGTATATGCTTTGTTGTTGATGTTCGGTCGTAGGTCACTTTCCTTACCCACAATCGATTCGCCCATTGATATCAATTCTCTTGAAAGAACTCTTAGACGGAACCTTAGGGAACCCACTCTTACAAGGGACCTTGAAACTGAATTCAATATAATGGGGGATAACGTAGGAAATCCGGGGAATGAAAGGGCTGAAATTCCTAATATCGAGCCAATGACTCTTAGAGATCATTTCATCCCTACCACCTATGCTTCTCCATCTTGCATAGTGATGCCAAACATCGATGCAGCTCAATATGAGATCAAGTCTAGTACCATTCAAATGCTTCCATCATTTCATGGCTTTGATAATGAAGATCCATACAAGCATCTTGATGAGTTCCTTGAAATCTGTTCAACCATCCGGTTGAGAGGTTTTCCGGACAATGCACTTCATCTCCATCTCTTCCCATTCTCCCTAAAGGATAGGTCAAAATATTGGTTGAACTCCCTCGCTCCCAACTCTATTACTTCTTGGGCTCAATTGCAACAAGAATTTCTTAAGAAGTATTATCCGGTGAGTAAAACCAACCAAATGAGGCGTTCCATTCTAAGCTTTTCTCAAGTTGATGGAGAACAACTCCACGAGACTTGGGAAAGGTTACAAGATCTTCTTCGGAAGTGTCCTCATCATTTGATCCCAAAATGGCAATTAGTGCAAGCTTTCTATGCCGGCTTGACCGAAACCCATAGATTCATGGTTGATTCTTCTTGTGGTGGGATGTTCATGTCCAAGAATGCGGATGAGGCTTGGACCTTACTTGAGAATTTGAGTGAAAATTCACTTCAACACAATTCTCGTAGGGCTCCGACCGCAACCACTCCAAACAACACCAACCCTTGTCAACCAAAGTCAATAAGGGAGGAATCATCTCAAGTGGATGCCATCGCTCATAAATTCTATCAATTGATGGCACCACATCTTCCTCCTTCATTGTCTCAAAATTCGGCAAGTTCAGTTTGTGCTTCATGTACTAGTCCATTCCATCTCTCGGAAGATTGCCCCACATCGGAGCAATTTCCGAGTCCCAACCAAGAGCAAGCTAATGCCATGTTCTCGCGGCCCGGGAACAATCCATATTCCAACACCTACAATCCGGGTTGGCGTGATCATCCGAATTTCTCATGGCGGCAACAAGCCCCACAGAATTCCCAATTCCAAAACCAAGGGCGGCAAAATCAGCCCTCTTCTCAGTATCAAGGTAGACCTTTCCAAGCCTCTTCAAGCTACCGTCCTCCTTACAATCCAAATGTCTCCAATCAACCTCCTGTGTGTCCAACTGACGAGATAGTAGCTGCAAACAAGCAAATGATGGAATCATTAAATAAGCAAATAATGGATGCCAACAAGCAACTCTTGACATCCTTGCAGCCTACTCTCCAAATGGTTCACTCTCATACTCAATCCATAGCTAATCTCGAAAATCAAGTGGGCCAAATAGCTAACTCGGTGAATCAATTGCTTCAAAAGGACAAGGGCAAGCTTCCCTCTCAACCTTTTGAAAATCCTAGAGGAATACATGTGATTGACGAAACCCCTCCTCCGAGTGGGCCGACTCATGAACAAGTTCAAGCTATCACCACCCTTCGGAGTGGTAGAGTGGTGGACAACAAGGTCGATGGAGACAAAAGTGAAGAAGTTTCGCCGTTGAAAAATCCAAATTCAAGCTCTTCTAATCCAAATTCTTGTCCCAATACCATTCACGGATATCCCACACATGTCTCCCCAAATGTGGAAACTACTTATGAGCCAAAAGCTCCGTTTCCTCAACGTCTTCAAGAGTCGACACACTTTGGGAACAAGAATTGTAAAATTCAAGACATGTGGGAAGTCTTCAAGCAAGTGAAGATTAACTTGCCCCTGTTGGATGCTATCAAGCAAATCCCTCCCTATGCAAAATTTCTCAAAGATTTGTGCACTCAAAAGCGCACTTCTAAAAATCATTTGCCAAAAAAAGTGAGGTTGACTGAAAATGTTAGTGCTATTATTCAGCACAGCACTCCCCCGAAGTATAAGGATCCGGGTGCCCCCACAATCTCGTGCGTCATTGGTGACAGCAAAATCGAGAGGGCCCTCCTTGACTTAGAAGCTAGTGTGAATTTAATTCCATACTCGGTCTACCTACAACTTGGTTTGGGCGATCTTAAGCCGACTTCCGTGGTTTTGCAACTTGCCGATAGATCGGTCAAGCATCCACGAGGTATTCTTGAGGACGTCATCATCAAAGTGGACAAATTCTACTTCCCGGTAGATTTTGTGGTTCTTGATACGGAACCAGTCCATGACCCAAAAAAGCACATTCCCGTGATCCTTGGTAGACCATTTTTAGCTACGGCTAATGCATCAATTAATTGCCGAACCGGGGTGATGGACATTGCTTTTGGAAACATGCAAGTCAAACTCCACATCTTTCATGCAACTCAACATCCCTCCAATGAGGATGATTGTTTTCTTGTGGATGTCATTGATGAAGTGGTCGAAGAATCTCTCCCCTTCATCCTAAGCAAAGATCCCCTTGAAACTTGCATGTCTCATTTTGACTTCTCAAACTTTGATGTTGATCAAGCCATTCAAGAAGTCAATTCCTTGCTTGATATTAATGCTATCATGGATGTACCTCCTTGGAAAATTCCAAAAGAACCACTTCCCCAACTTTCCACCACTCCTCCGGTCCCATCATTGTTATCTCCGCCACAACTTGAGCTTAAGCCGCTCCCGGCCCATCTCAAGTATGTGTTCCTTGGTCCAAAGCAAACCCTTCCGGTCATTATTGCCTCGGACCTTCAAAAAGACCAAGAGACCAACCTTTTAGCGGTGCTCCAAGAGCATAAAGAAGCTATTGGTTGGACAGTGGCAGATTTGAAAGGAATTGACCCCTCCATTTGTATGCACCGCATTCATATGGAGGATGACGCAAAGCCTACTAGAGAGGTCCAGCGCCGGTTAAATCCAAACATGAAGGAAGTGGTCATGAAAGAGGTGATCAAATTGCTAGATGCGGGAATCATCTATCCTATCTCTGATAGCAAGTGGGTGAGCCCCACACAAGTTGTCCCCAAGAAATCCGGGCTCACCGTTGTTGAAAATTCAGCGGGCGAGCTCGTGCCACAACGAACCACCACCGGGTGGCGTGTGTGCATTGACTATCGTAAACTCAACTCATCAACTAGGAAGGATCATTTCCCACTCCCATTTATTGATCAAATCCTAGAAAGGTTAGCCGGCCAAAGCTTCTATTATTTTCTTGATGGTTATTCCGGCTATAACCAAGTGGCCATCGCCCCCCAAGATCAAGAGAAAACAACATTCACATGTCCCTTCGGTACTTTTGCCTATCAACGCATGCCTTTTGGTCTATGCAATGCACCGGCAACGTTCCAAAGGTGCATGATGTCCATATTCTCCGATATGGTTGAAAGGTTCTTGGAAGTTTTCATGGATGACTTTTCCGTATTTGGCTCCTCCTTTGACTCGTGTCTCAAAAATTTATCTCTTGTGCTCCAAAGATGCAAAGAGACGAATCTCATTCTAAGTTGGGAGAAAAGCCACTTTATGGTCCAAGAAGGCATTGTTTTAGGACATGTCATTTCTAAGCGGGGAATCGAGGTAGACAAGGCAAAAGTTGAGTTAATCTCTAATCTTCCTCCTCCGAATTCCGTCTGTCAGATCCGTTCTTTTCTTGGCCATGCCGGATTCTATCGTCGCTTCATCAAAGATTTTAGCAAAATCTCACGGCCCTTGTGTAATCTCTTAGCCAAGGATGTTCCGTTCAATTTTGATGACGCTTGCATGGAAGCTTTCATCAAACTTCGCATTCTCCTCTCCTCTGCCCCGATCATGAAACCCCCTAATTGGTCTCTTCCCTTTGAGATCATGTGTGATGCATCCGAGTATGCATTAGGGGCGGTTTTGGGCCAACGTGTGGATAAACTTCCGCATGTCATTTATTATGCTAGCAAAACTCTCTGCGATGCCCAATTGAACTACACCACCACTGAAAAAGAATTGCTAGCTGTGGTGTACGCCTTGGATAAATTTCGCTCCTATCTTCTTGGCTCCAAGGTCATCGTCTTTTCAGATCATGCCGCTCTTAGGCATTTGTTAGCGAAAAAAGAGACAAAACCCCGCTTAATTCGATGGATCCTCTTACTTCAAGAGTTTGACATTGACATCCGGGACAAAAAAGGGACCGACAATGTTGTCGCCGATCATCTCTCTCGCTTACTTATTGAGAAATCTTCAGAATTTGCAGCCATCCGTGATTCCTTTCCGGATGAGCAACTTCTTCAAGTTTCACATTCTACTCTTCCGTGGTTTGCGGATATTGTCAATTATCTTGCGGTTGGCAAAATTCCAGCTCATTGGTCCAAACAAGAGAGGGACCGGTTTTTCTCCCAAGTCAAGCATTTCTTTTGGGAAGATCCGGAATTATTCAAGTATTGCCCGGACCAAATCATCCGGCGATGTATTCCTGAAACCGAGGCCACAAGCATTTTAAATTTTTGCCATACTCTTGCTTGTGGAGGCCATTTCAGTGCCAAAAAGACCGCTAACAAAATCCTTCAAAGCGGATTCTTTTGGCCTACCTTGTTCCGGGATGCATACCATTTTTGCAAATCGTGTGAACGATGTCAAAAACTTGGATCCATGTCCCGAAGAGACATGATGCCCCTCACCAACATTTTAATTGTTGAAATTTTTGATGTGTGGGGGATTGACTTCATGGGACCATTTCCATCTTCTTATGGCTATGAGTACATCCTTGTAGCGGTGGATTATGTGTCTAAATGGGTTGAAGCCGCGGCTACCAAAACCGATGATCATAAAGTCGTGATCCATTTCATTCAATCTCACATCTTTAGTCGTTTTGGTACACCCCGAGCAATCATTAGTGATGGCGGATCTCATTTCCGAAATCGTTATCTCAAATCCGTCCTTGCTAAATATTCAGTCATTCATAAGGTTGCTACACCTTACCACCCTCAAACGAGTGGTCAAGTAGAGATTTCTAACCGGGAGATTAAGCACATTTTAGAAAAAACGGTTAGACCGGACCGCAAAGATTGGTCATTACGGCTAAACGATGCACTTTGGGCTTACCGGACAGCTTATAAGACACCCATTGGCATGTCACCATATCGACTTGTCTTTGGCAAAGCATGTCATCTCCCGGTAGAATTAGAGCACCGTGCTTATTGGGCCGTAAAAAGGTTCAATTTTGATCTCAAACAAGCCGGCTCTAATCGTGCGTTGCAATTAAATGAACTTGAGGAATTGCGTAATGACGCGTATGAAAATGCAAAAATTTACAAGGCAAAGACTAAAGCTTTTCATGACAAACACATCGTCAAAAAGTCTTTTGCCCCGGGACAAAAGGTCTGGCTTTTCAATTCCCGCTTGAAGCTCTTTCCCGGTAAACTCCGGTCAAGATGGGATGGTCCATACATTGTCACTACCATCTTTCCTCATGGAGCAATCGAACTTCATGATCCTGCAAGTGGATCACTCTTCAAGGTAAATGGCCAAAGGCTTAAGCCTTGCATTGACAGCACAATTCTAACCCGAAAAGTTGAGGAAGTCCCCTTGACGGACCCCATTTATGAGGAGTAGTGCCTGCTCTAGCTTGGTCTAGCTATCGACATTAAATTTAGCAAAGCAAGGGAATAAATTCTTTCGATGTTCCAAGCTTCCTTCTCTTTGAAATTGCTCGTGCCTTACAAAAAAAAATTTTCTGGGAAACGGATTAGATAAGCCAAAAATTTGATTTTTTCTGAAATGGTCTTCAGTTGTGTTTCGCAATTTTAGACTGGCCTCTTAGACCTTCTCAGCTCTAATTTTCATTCCCGGAAATTTCCATCGCTTTCGAGCAATTTCATAGGATCTTTGGCATGCAACTCATGTGCAATCTCTCATTTTTAATGCATTTCTGAAATGTTCTTAATCTCATCCATGCATTGACGAGATGTTCCAAAGCTTGAAAATTTTCTCAAAATCATCCATGCATTATGTGAGGTTGCAAAAGTTGGGAACTCTTCTTGAAATCATCCATACACTCATCAAAAAAAAAAAAAAAAAAAAAGATTTTTGCCCGATTTGAAATTTGTTCTACATGTCCATGCATTGCATTGAAGCTTCGAGCTTGGCAATTTTTCCATCCCTCAAGTCCATCCCTGCAGTGCATTAGAATAGCATGCCAAGTTTCACTTTCGATCCATGCATGCTAGGTGCAACTATTCTATCCATGCATTGATTTGGAAGCATCTTTCAAGGTTGTATCAATTCTTCAGCTCTTAGTTGATCATATTCACATTCACAATGCCTAAGAATGAAGCACATAATGTTACAAGGCATGCAACAATTCATCTCTCCACCTCCATGCTCACTGCCGAGTGCTCCAAGGCTTTAACCAAGTTTCCATGAGCCTACTGCCTTCATTTAGAGCACTCTAGCTTCCAATTTGAGTGCTCCAAATTCTTCAACCCATACTGCCGAACCTACTGCCCTCATTTCGAGCACTCTCAATTCTGGTATGAGTGCTCGAATTCCATGCACCAACCAACCCTCACTCTCTGCCACAATGTCGAGCACTCGAAAAGGCCATTTCGAGTGCTCCAACTCCCATCCTCGCAGCACACCATCACCCTCTCGGCCATGCAACACATCACCACCCTGCATGCATGCATGCACGCCCATGCATGCATGCCAAACCCACCTCCCTCACCACCCAGCTCACCACCCAGCTCACCACCCTTGCATGCATGCACGCCCATGCATGCATGCCAAACCTCTCACCAAACCTCTCACCAAACCTCTCACCTCACCACCCAGCTCACCACCCAGCTCACCTCCTGCATGCTTGCATGCCAAAGCCATGCAACACATCACCACCCTGCATGCATGCATGCACGCCCATGCATGAATGCCAAACCCACCTCCCTCACCACCCAGCTCACCACCCAGCTCACCTCCCCCATGCATGCATGCCAAACCCATGCATGCGTCCCACCACCCTCCTACCAACCCTCACAACCAACCTCACCACCCCTCCACCTCCATCAACCCTCACCATGCCATGCACCTCAACCAACTCACACCCATCTTCTCTCGGCAACCCACTGCTCCACTTTCGAGCACTCGAAGACCAAGCTTCGAGTGCTCGAACTCCTCATGCCAACACCCTAGCCCATCACCCAACTCTCTGCCCCAATTTCGAGCACTCGAAGTGGGCCTTCGAGTGCTCGAACCAAGCTCTCTTTTCTCTCTTTTAAAACCCCTTCTCTCCCTCGCAGCTCCCTCCCTCTCAACCCACAAAACCACCACCAACCCCTCTTCCACCTCACAACCACCTCCCTCTCTCTCGGCCCCTCCCCTTCCCCAAACCAACCAACCAACCTCCCCACTTCACCTCCCTCTCAACCCACCAAACTCCCACACCCTCACCACCTCACACCACCTTTCTCTCGGCCCCCCACCCACCAACCCCTCCATGCACCAAATGCATGCAACCACTTCCTCTCTCTACCCCAAACACCCAATCCATCTCTCATCCACCACCAGCCCACCCACATTGCCACCACCCCTACATCTCTGCAGTTCCCATTTCCTATTCTGTCCCAAGGTATGTGAGCTTCTTTTTTTTTCCTCCTTTCCTTGTCTTTATTTCATCATAAGGAGGATGGGATTGCATGTCGGTGATTTTGTTGATGCTTGGGTTGCTTGTTGTTGATGTTGCTCTATGCTAGAGCTTGTTATCTTGCCAAATTTTTTGGGTTTGCTCCTCCATCCCACTCACTTTCATCTTCTCCTTTTTGTGGTGCACGCCAGGTGTTCGCTGAAATTCCTCAACCAAGTCCACCTCTCTAAATGTCTCGTGCCGGTCCTTCTCGCCCTCCTCGACCCTCTTCAGGTGCCCGTGCTGTCACTCGTGAGCGACCACGTGATCCTTGGGATCGCAAACAACTCAACTACGAACTCTCATTTCCGCTCACGGATGCCTTTGACATTCTACCCACAACTTCGTGGGCTGTAGCTGAATTGACTAACCGGCGTCTGCAACACATTTGCGCACCCCTTGCCAGGGTTGCCTACCCCCGTGTAGTGCGCATCTTCTACCAGAATCTCCATTGCCCTGAAGAGCCACCCATTTCTCTCACTACATCCATTGATGGCACCGCCTATGCTTTCACTATGACCGACATCATTCAGGTTTCTGGTTGCCCCATTGAGTGCCCTGATGACATTGTTAATCGTGAGAATCTCCCTTTATATGAGGAGCCGGATACATTAACTGTGGTGCAGATTGCCGCTGCCATTTGCCCTATTGACGATCCTACTCGGCCCCGGTCTTTTATCCGCAAAACCAATCTTCCGGAACGCCTATGGTTCATTGACACTGTCTTCAAGCACAATGTTTGCCCTTTGGTGCATAGCACTGAGCGTCGGGGCCTCTTTCTGCAAGCCTTATATGCCATGGACCAAGGCCAATGGTTCTCCATCCCAGAGCTCATTTGGTCCACCTTTATGAAGTTTTGGCATGATGCTCATAATGCACGGGCTCCGCGAGTTGAAAATCGGAAATTGCCTTTGCCGTTTTTCATCACTCGACTCCTTCAGCACAAGGGTTTCGTTGTTCCTCCCCACGAACCAAAAGGCGACAAAATTAAAATTTTTACCCAGCGCCGGTGGATCAATGTTCTGACCCATTCTAGTACCCCTCCGCCTCCTGCCCCCCTGTTCATCCACGCTCCACCTCCTCCTCCTTCTGAGGCAGTTTCCACCGCCGCAGCCACTGCGAGGGTAGAGCCTTCGGTCGACTCTCACCAGGACCAGGCTTTCATCCGGGCTTCCATTGCCGGTATTCATGCGCGACTAGATCGTTTTGAGCATTCTTTGTCCGCGTGCACTCAGGCTCTGTGTGAGTCTTCTTCACGTGCTGAAGAAGATCGTCGTCTTGCTGCTGAAGACCGCCGTGTCGCTGCTGAGGACCGTCGTTTGGCTTCCGCTGAACGGCGTAAGACTCAATCTCTCCTCCATTCCATCCTCGCCCGTTTACCTTCTGGCCAGTAGCTTGTTGCGCGTGTGGACCTTCTCTTTTGTTTCATCTGTAACTATTTCTCTTGTATATTTTGTTTTCCTTTTAAACTGTAAGAATTTGCTATGTATAGGTTGCTCTGGTCGACATGATCCCTGTACAGTTCTTTTTGTCATCATGTAAACTCTTTTTGCAATGCAAGTTCTTTATGTTCTGTTAACTTTCGATACATTCGTTTTCTGTCTTTATGCTTGTGCTATTAATGCTGTTTGTGGTTGTTTCTTTTGGTTCTTCATGTTGCTTTCCAGGTTGCGCAGTCCAGTTCAAGTTTGGGGGTTTTTGTCTCAAAATGCCGTTCCCTCCCCCTGGGTATTGTTGTTCCTTTTATACTCGTTGTCATTTTTGTCTCTAACTTGCATCCATGTCCCACATTGAGGACACTGTGTCGTTTAAGTTTGGGGGTGCATCAAGCATTCTTGGCATATTTTTGGTTCCATAATTTTTGCTAAGCAATGATAGTATAACTTGACACTTGTCGGAGATGAAACATATGTTTAATACCTTGTGTATAGAAGCAATTGAAATTTTTGAAAATAAAGAAAAATTTGAGTTGAAATGATCATGTAAATACAATGTAGTCTGTATAAATGCCTCAATTAGATTCTTGCTGAATTTACACTCTTATAAGCTTCACAATGCACAGATGCACATTGGAAACTTAACTGTGAGGCATGTAACTTGATTGACCTTGACCTTGGCCTAGTTAATCTGATTTGATGAACCTGATAGATGGATACCTTTGGCATGTATCTATTCAAAAAAAAAAAAAAAAAAAAAAAAAAAAAAAAAAAAAAAAAATTGAGAAAGAAAGAAAAAAAAATGACCAGTTGACGTTCGTAGCCTTTCCAACTCGAGCTATTAAGCCCTAGGAGTGTCTCTACACTTAGCACCCTAAAGCCATCTGGTTTGGGAGTTGTTGGCCTAACGCTTGCTACAAGGGTTAGTTAGAAAGCTTAAGGGACTTAAACATTGCACGGTCATTCAAAAAAAAATTAAACTAGTAATAAACATGGTTCGTTGGAGTTCGTAGCCTTTCCAACTTGAGCTATTAAGCCCTATGGAGTGTCTCTACACTTAGCACCCTAAAGCCATCTGGTTTGGGAGTTGTTGGCCTAACGCTTGCTACATAAGTTGGTTAGAAAGCTTAATGGACTTCAGCATTGCACAACCATTCTATGTTTCGCTTATGTGTTGAAATAAATTGTTAACAAGCAACAAAAGTTGTCTTGAAAATAAAATCATGCCTTAGGGACTTCATGTAAAAGGGAATTCATTGATTTGAAAACTTGTGCCTTGGAATTGGACAAAAAAGTAAAAGCCGCATGTGAGAATCCAATTCACTTTCACTGGAGTTTGAGTTATTTCCATTTAAGAGATGACAATTGAATTATTTATATGGACTATGATGTTGATGCAT